CATGAGTCGTGGTATCCGAGACGGTCGGGAGGAGCGGGGATATCTTCGCACCAGACTGTTGTGTATTGGGTGGTTGTCAGCATGGCATTGTTATCATGACACTGGAGCGATGGCATGTTAAGTATGGTACAACTGAGAAAAAGTACACAAATGAATTTTTCAACATTTTCCTTGGCCACGGAACGGGAGGAGTCTGGTCATTTTTGCAAAGGCTAGGGCGTTGTACATATTTTATTTCACCCAACAAATCTCTTCAGGGGTATCTAGTCTACGGCACGGTTGGATGCAAAGTGGGATTGATGAAAGGCCTCTTGAAACGTTTCCTCCAGTGCTCTCTTTCATGACTTTGCAGGGGCTGTCATGACCTCGGACTCGTCGACGCCCATCAGCTCACGCAGGGCGACTGTCGCGTAGGCGCTCTTGGGGAGCTGGAACGTCACCACCACGGCCGTCTTCTGGACCGCTGCCGGTCCCGGCTCGGCTGCCGCGGCATCCGTCTCGGGGGCCTGCGCCGGCTTGTCTTCAGCCTCGGGCTTCACCTCGGGCTGAGCAGTCGCAGCATCCTCCATCGCCTCGTCGGGCTTCACCTCGGCGTCTTCGTCGGTCTTGGCCTTTTTGTTCGCCTGCTCGTCGTCCCCCTCGCCGCCGCGGCGGCGCTTCTTGGACGACGGCGGCTGCTTGGCGCGGATGCGGTCCATGTCCGTGGGATGCATCTGCTCGTTGTCATCCGTGTAGGCGCGCACCTCGAAGCGCGGCTCCGCGAGGAAGCGCGCGGTGAGCTTGCGGTAGGCGCCCGGTAGGCTGAACTCACGGTGGCGGCGGATCATCTTCTCCGGGTCGAGGTCGCCGTTCTCCTTCATGAAGGTCTTGTAGAAGTCGCCGAGCGCGTTGGTCGGGTAGAGCACGGCGTGGCCCGGGGACGGGAGGATCACGTCGTGGATGGTGTAGCGGCCCGAGGCGGCCTCTTCGGCGGTCAGCGCGCGGGCGTCGGCGGTGTCGTCGTCAGCCTCTTCCTCGGCGGTCGCGTCGGCCTGGGGCTTCGCGTCGGCGAAAACGAGGTCGCCCTCGACGACCTTGTCGCCGTACAGGCGCCAGCGGTGGCTGGCAGCGTGGTTCCAGACGTAGGACTGGTAGGCGTGGAGGTACATGCTGCGCAGGCCGCGGGTGATGCTCGTCAGGGCGCCGATGAAGTCCCGGCGGGAGGTGGCGCGGCCGAGGTGGCGGATGACGCTGGCCTCGGCGTTGAAGCGGCGCGGGAGGATCTTCATGGCGTCCTCCTCGGAGCCGCCCTGGCGGAAGAGCATGCAGGCGTGGTGGCGGTTGAAGTCGTCGCGCTGGTGGCCCTCGGCGGGGACCTCGCCCCCGGCGGCGCGCTTGGCGATGTCCTCGTCGTACGAGATGATGGCGTTGATGGCGGACTCGAAGTCTTCCTGGAGGATCATGCGGCCGACCTCGTGCGTGCCGACGGCGTGGGTGCCGAAGCGCTGGTGGCCAAAGTAGTTGATCCAGCCGCGGGAGTGCATGCTCTCCATGGCGGCCTTGACCGAGGCCTCGATCTTGGACTGGCGCTCGTCATGGGGGAGGTCAGGGGACCCGGCGACGGCGCAGTCTTTGAGGGCGATGACGAACTCGTTGCCGGTGTGCGCGCCGAGGTGGATGGGCGTGGTGGCGTAGACGTAGTCGCCGGTGGTGACGCCCTTGAGGCGCGAGTTTGCGCGCATGAGGTTGTCGGCGCGGACGTGGCGGACGGAGCACCGCTGTGTCGTCGCGGCGCGGCGGTCCTTGGTGCCGGCGGTGCCGATGGACTGCGGCTTAACGCGCAGGGCGCGCGCGATCTGGTTTGTCGCCTCCATGGTGTCGCGGTTCTCCTTGTAGAGCGTGAAGTGCAGGTACTCGCCCTCGCCGGGGGCCTTGACCTTGGGCTCCTGTTTCTTCTTCTGCTGGGGGCCTCCGCGCACTCCCCTGCCCTTGCCCCTCGGCGGGGAGATCTTGGCGATGATGGCGCCGGTCGGGTCGGTTGTTGTGTCGATGACGGAGTTGAAGATGCGGCGGACGGCCTGGTGGAGCTGCGAGCGCTGGTCCTTGTCGTCCATCGCGGGTGAGGTGGCGGGCTCGACCTTTACGTTCTTGTCGGCGGAGATGGTTTGGAACATTGCGACGAGCTGCTTGGCGAAGTCCTCGTTTGTGAGGGAGGTGAGGGTGGCGATGTCCTCGGGAGAGATATCGGGGGTCGTTGGCGCTGGGGCTTCGCTGTTGTCGCCGTTCTCGGGCTGTGGTTCGGGCTTCACTTCCTGCTTTTCCTCTGCGGCCGGTGGCGGAGTGGGCTCCTTGGTGGGTTGCGGGAGCCTTGTTTCTGTGAGATGGAGGACGGAGCCATCTTTGTTGATCTCGTAGACTTGGAAGTCGGTGTATCTGGGCTTCATTAGTGACGCGATCAAAGTGAGGGGTCTGAATTCGCGCACCTCTTGCGCATGTCGCCGGTCCAAGCAGTCATGCTCGGGGCGATGCGCTCTGTGATGCCGAGAGACGCATCGAGGCGCGTACCGTTAGCACGGCGCGTTTCGGTCCCCATATTGATGTGATGATATTAAACAAGGTTTGCGATGTAATTGCAAGCAATTTGACTTGTATATCGATAAAAGTGAGTGAATTGGGCTTGTAGGAGTTGAGATGTCTGATGGAAAGGGTCGCGGGGCCAACAGGCATATTTTCAGGAATTGCCGGCAGAAACTGGCGAGTATGGGTAAAATGGCAGGCGGTGTGTGAGGACTCCGCCGGGCCTGGTTAAAAAAAGAAAGCGGTAAAGCGAATCTCATTGAGCCACTTTTCATGTGAGATCCCACGTCTCACTAAATCTCATCGCAATGTTCTGATTTCAAGGTACTTTTCATTTTCGTTTCATGCAATTACTCAATCCGCCTTCAGATTCAGAATCTCAATCGCGTTTCCACCCATAATAGCCTTCGCTTGCTCACTTCCCTCACCAACAGCAGCTGCCACAGCATCCGCGTTCATGCTCACGCTCTCCCACTCACCCTGCTCATCAGTCGTCAACGGAGGGAAGAAGGGGTGATCTGTACCAAACATGAGCCTATCGGCTCCGCTCGCGTCGATGGCCGCCTTCAATCCAACTTCGGAGTAGATGACTGCATCGAGATAGATCTGCTCCTTGAGCACGTCCCAGATCTTCCGACGGCCCTTGCCGACCTTGCCCTCGCGCACCAGCTGTCCGTCGTGCAGGATGCAACTCTCAATTCTGCCGGCGAGGAAAGGCAGCGTGCCACCGCTGTGAGCGAGCAGCATGCGCAAGTCGCGCACCTCATCGAAGACGCCCGCGAGATACATGCGCGCCACGGCGATGGTGGTCTCCATGGGGAAGCCCAGCGCCAGGGGCAGGACATGGCCGTACTCGTTGCTCGCCCTCGGGCCCCAGACATTGTTGGGCAGGCCATAGTGCGGGTGCAAGAAGATGGTCAGACCGGCGGCGGCGATGGCCTTGAAGATGGGCAGCAGCTCTGGGTCATCGAGACCCTTGCCCAGTCCAGACGTGCCCAGGATAATACCACGGCAGTACTTGACCCCCTTGACGTGGTTGATGGCATCGAGGATCGTCTCGAGCGACGCAGTCAGGGGAAGGGCAGCGAAGAAGAACAGACGCCCGGGATGCGCAGCACACATGCGGTCAAACTCCTCGTTGACATCCCGCGCCATGGGACCCGACTCCGAGGCGTCGATAAAGTCCAGCCATGGGTTCGCCAGGGAAACGACCGAGATGTCGATCTTGTGCGTGTCCATGAAGTGCACCTTCTGCTCCAGCGAGGCATAGTGAGAGGTCAGCGGCCGGCCCGGGGGCTTTGCCGTGGCATCCTTGGTGGCTTCGTCGAGGGCCTGCTGCTCCGAGGCGAGGAGGATAAGGCGCGGATCGGGGTCCTGCGGAAACCGGCGGACAACAGGAATGGTGGTTCGAGACTCGAGAATCTTGATGTACGACGGGGGGTACATGTGCGTGTGGATGTCTACCACCCTCATCGGTGTTGAAGAGGCCATTCTGTCTTTTTTTCGCCAAATGCTCAAAAATGTTTTGTTATGTTTTTTGGTGAGGTGCGGGGTATGAAGGAAGCGCCTTGGACGTGTTCTGTGCTTAAGGTGAGTCTTTGGCTGAAGATTGAAGATGCGACGTTGGAGGTTGCTGACTTACAAATGGTCGAGGCTCAATCGCGAGTCGGGAAGGTTCTCAGCTAACACGCAATTGCAGGAATGAAAAAAAGACACAACGTCGAGTCTTTGAGACGAATATTTCTTAAGCGCTGAGCATTCTCGTGTTCCTGAGTTAAGTACCAGCTACCCGAGGGCTATGTCTTTACAGGAAGGTGATGAAGTTGCATCCGAAATGCACGTCTCCGCATCAAGTCGCCCACCCCACACGCGGGCGTCTTGCTCCAACTGCGCTGGCTGCCGATTGTCCTACCCCGCCGTTATCTTCGCCTGTCCTTTGCGCCGCGCCGGCCTTATCTTTCCGTCGTCTTTTTGGCGGGGTAACGCCACTCTGTTTTATTGTCTTACACGTTGGTATTATGAGCACAGCGTAGGAGGTCTCCGATGGCCTTGGTCGCGCGACTCGCCCGGTTCGAGCCGACCTATGACCCCTCAAGGATTTGTATGGCTTACTGTTTCCTCCGTCACCTCTTTGCCGGGATCAGCAAGGGGCTTTGGCCTGCTGGACTGATTAGATGCCCCGGGCTGAGGTCAATGCCGGCCATGTGGTTGGTAGCCTGGGTATGCACTTTCACAAGGGTCCTGTTGTATTACCAGACGAATATAAGTCACTCAAATGCCCTACCGCACGGATCTCGCTCGTGAACCTTATCGCGACGCCGTGGAATCTTCTACGTCTCAGTCCGAGTAATGGTATCTGATACCTTTGAACACTGACATCTCATCAACTGTTTGCAATCTGGCGGTGTTCATTCTCATTCTCAGCTGTTTATAACTAAATCACAATGGCGGCCACCGCAGTAGACAAGGAGGGTCTCTTCATTCCCGTGAGTTCGCCAAGCATCACCGACTTCACTTCTCACTCACGCAACCCAGCTCATCGACTTCTCTGCCTTCCTCAGCGGCGATAACGCGAAGCGCACCGAGACCGCCAAGCAGATTCTCGACGGTTTCCAAAACGCCGGCTTCATCTACCTCAAGAATGTCCCCATCAGCCAGGAGCTCCGCGCTGCCACCTTTGCCAAGTCGGCCGACTTCTTCGCCCAGGACGACGACGCAAAGACGGCTGTCGGCTGGACCACGCCCGAGGCCAACCGCGGGTACTCTGCCCCCGGCCGCGAGAAGGTCAGCCAGTTCATGGACGCGGCCTCGGTCGGCAAGGAGCGTGCCGGCAACCCCGACTTGAAGGAGAGCTACGAGATTGGACGCGAAGGCGAGCCCACGCACCCGAACCAGTGGCCCGTGGAGAAGGCGGGCAGCCCCGTGGACGGATTCAAGGCGCAGATGCTTGACTTCTTTGGGCAGTGCAAGAACCTCCACGTCGAGGTCATGCGCGCCATCGCCGTGGGCATGGGCATCGATGAGCACTACTTTGACGGGTTCACGGATGTTGGCGATAATACGCTCCGTCTGCTGCACTACCCGTCAGTCAACCCTGAAGTTTTCAAGATCAACCCCGGCCAGGTTCGTGCCGGAGCTCACAGCGATTATGGCTCCATCACCCTGCTCTTCCAGGACGACCGCGGCGGTCTGCAGGTGAAGAGCCCCAACGGCCAGTTTGTGGATGCCACGCCCATCCCCGGAACGGTAGTCGTCAACGCGGGTGACTTGTTGGCGAGATGGAGTAACGACACAATCAAGAGCACGATCCACCGTGTCGTCGAGCCCCCGAGGAAGCCGGAGGATGGATCCGAGTACCCTCCGCGGTACAGCATTGCGTAAGTCAGATGACCAAGGAAAGTGAATGAGATGCTAACGATGAGAAGATACTTTTGCAACCCCAACTTCAAGAGCCACATCGAGGCCATTCCGGGTACTTACGCGACGGAGGCGGAGAAGAAGTACGAGGGTATCAACAGCGGGCAGTACCTTGTGCAGAGACTGGCTGCCACGTACTAACGGCCTTGGCGTTTATATTAACGATATACTAAAAGCGAATTGATCGTGTTTACCAAGGGTGATCCGCAGGTCAACTGACTAATATCGCCTTTTGCTGATGAATGATCAAGGTTGTATGCCAAAAACATGATTGAGACTGATTCGAAGTATACTTAGAGATGATCAATCAAGGTTTACTGTACTTTCGATCGCTCGTGCTTTGACTTTGCTCAGTCATGTTTTGTACATCATCTTGGTCAGTTACACGCTGATAAAGCATTGTGGTTCTCTGCCTAAGTCTGTATATTACAACTCGGGTGGCTCTTCGGGCGTGGGCTCATCCAGTTTTGGCCACCATTTCCGTCAATGGGCTATAGAATGACAGAACCAGGAGAAGTATAGACACATTCAATGCAAATACACGGGAACGCAGCCAAGTCTTGACCAGCCGTTCCCTCCAAGGCGTACCAAGAGTCCTAGGTCTTTGACCCCAGATGGAGATCGAGAGTAGATGAAGGCCCAGCAATGCAGTATTGTCCTCGCCAAGCCGATAGCAGCGAATGAAGATGAACACGTTGATAAACGTGAAACAAACTACAAACGCCAGGTCCAAAGGCCAGTAACGGAATGCGACTTCGTACTCAGATGTATCGACGTTCGACACATGGATGGCGTGTGCGGCATGTCGAGCTTTGAGGCGTATTGCAAAGTAAGACAGACTAGATCCGGCCAACACAGCAATTTCTGCTTTGCTGACCGTGATGCTGAGCAATGCCCAAGAGAGAATCGTAATGGGGACGAAATAGAATTCTCGCCAACTAAACATGCAACTTTCGTAGACGTAACTGCTTGCAGCGTCCGCATTCATCCCGGCCCCAGCAAAAAGTCCTCGTGATGGTGCTCTGAAGATCTGAGTCTGGACTGGCGAACATGATGGATAAGAGGAGGAGATCGTGACAATGAACATTTCGTGCTTCAGGAACGCATCGCGTCTCACTGTGACACTCCGAGGTCCATCCGGACACACAACCAAGTCGCCTGCTTTGGATGTATCGAAGTTCTGTGACATGTCTTCGAGAGACTGGCCCTTTTTCTTGGCGACGATGTGACAGACGAAAGGTGGTGGAACCATAGTACGCGAGAATATTGCGCGGATCAAGGTCCGCCGCTCGAGGACGACAACGAACCCTTCATCTTGACCGTTGTCCTTTGAGTAGTGCAAGAGAATGCGTTTCCAAGTCTGGTCAGCACCTGAAACGGGGCAAACGCTGCTCCATTGCCTCTTGTCCGCCTCTGTCGGTATTACCTTCACCAACCGCTCCGGTAAATCTGGTGCAGCGTCGAGACGGACAAACCCACACTTGATATCCGTATTCCAGATCGGTTGCTCAAGACGGTGATCCTGCTTGTCCTTCCTTATGTAGATGGTACGATACTGCATGCGCCGTGTAGTGCTCCAAGGGAGATCCAATAGGCATGGGGGCTGCTTTGGTCGAATGTACTCATCACTAATAACGGTCTGGAACAGAGGAATCGCAACGATTTTTTTGAAGTCCGTCCCAATCTGACAATCAAGCAGACCGTAGGCAAGCTTCTCAAGTTGGAAAAGAGGAAGCGTGATTCGCAGGCCTCGGCTCGTCATTTCAGGCACCGAGCTTGTTCCACCCATCGGTATGGCGGAAATGTTTGACCAGCAAGCGAAGTCTCTGGGACTCTGAGCGAGTAGTCTGTGATACTCAGGCCGATGTGAGACTTCTCGGTAGTACTCCTTGGAGTACTGAGTTTCTTGAGGGTCGGCGGATAGCAGGTGTATAACGCTATAATAAATCCGGAAACGCTTGTAGAACACATCCGAAGGTTCCTCTTTCAAGGTAGTATCCAGCGGGCTCCACGCAAGAACGGATTCGTCAGTGTTGAGCTTTAGGAGCTCTAGCTGGAGCCTCTCAAATGCGCGATCGCCTTCTCCATAAAGAAGCGGCATGTTTACATTGAATATTCCCAGAAGCGCGTACGCCCTATCCTCGATCCTGGTAGTTTCTCTATAAGCTGCCCACGACATGCGGACGGCGATGCTCGCTGAACGAAAATCTTGTTCCCTACGAAGGTAAGAAATGGGGATATTTGTGATGGCGTTGATATCAGCAGCTAAGGAGGAGCGGTCGCCAAATTGCCTCCAAAATTTGTCGTAGAACAGCACACTTTTGGGGGCGAGAAGCTCTTGCAAAGTCCAGCCTCTCGTGAACCAAAGGCTCTTTTTGAATTCGCCATCAACGTCGGGCTGGCTCTCGTCCGCTGGACCTCTACCTACGTCGTCAAGGTAAGCATAGCAGGCTGACGCATTCTCGTACCACCGGAACATAGAATTGATGGCTTCAGAGAGTTCAGCGCTGCTCGTTTTGTCGATGCAACAGGTGTCGGTCCAGACATAGTCGAAGCCATGCTCCGCAGCCAAGAGACAGAAACCGTTGACTTTGGCATATCCTCTCATGAGTTGATAGGCTGGAGAGCTGAGATCTTGGAGAGTGACCTCTTCTTCGCCCCATCGATGAGAAAGTATCGCATAGTTCGGGATGTTGTTGAAATACTGCTCCAACTTCCTGGTCTTGACGTTGAGAAGACGCATGTCGCATATCTTAAAGTGTTGAAGTTTCGAAATTGCAATCGATGCAATGGAAGCGGCGTCAGCTACAGGTATGCGCACTTGATAAAGTGGCTGGCTCTTGCAGCCTGCCTACCTAATCAGGTGACAGGATCAGCCATGATTGATTGGTCTTGGGATGAGCTACCCGCTCGTTGCCTGCATGCTGCGCCAGAGGTACGCCATAGTACCAACGGAAGAACCCATCAACGGCTGCAATTATCCAATCTGTTGACTCTCATGGTCAAGTTTATTGTCCGAAAACCAGTGAATGACAGACTCCACAGAAAAGTCATTCTACTCTAAGATGAAGGAGAGACAAGCTTGATCGAAGTTGCCCTTCAGAAGGGAGTCACATGGGTGGGGTGGCGATGCGGGGGCAGTCGTTCATGCACGCTCGCACTGTCCTCGTACTGTCAGCCGACAAGCCCGTAGGCTGAAGCTAAGCCAGCTGTCCCGAACATCCAACTTAAAGCAACCGTGGATGGCGATCACAAGATGAAGAAGACTCTACTTCTTGTGTTTATCCACGGCTTCAAGGTACGTTTTCCTCGTCGGGGAGACTTCAACATGCAACCAGCTTCTGACACTTTCACAGGGAGGTGACGACACCTTTGGGGACAAGGATGGCTTTACAGAGCAGCTCCGGGCCCAGCTCGCCGCCGCCCTCCCCAAAATCAACGTAAAGCATCTCGTGTACCCAAAGTATGAGACGCGCGGAGATTTGGGAGACTGCGTCAGCAGGTTCCGCGACTGGTGAGTTCCCCCGCTTCCTATGAAGCCAGGGTCGGTCACTGACACCCAGCCAGGCTCCTAGAAAAGGTCATCGACCTCGAGGTCGCAAACGCAACCCCGTCGCCGACGGTCGACCCGTCCGTTAGGATCGTGCTGATCGGCCACTCCATGGGCGGCATCGTGGCCGCCGAGACCGTCGTCGGGCTCACCTCCGAGCATCCCATCTACTCCGAGGACGGCGTCGAGAAGTCGGACAACCCGTCCACCTTCAACGGGCTCATGTTCCCCTACGTCCAGGGCGTGCTCGCCTTCGACACCCCCTATCTCGGCATCTCGCCCGGCGTCGTCGCCCACGGCGCCGAGGGCCACTACAACACCGCCTCCGCCGCCATGACGCAGCTCAGCGGGCTCGGGACGGCCATCTGGGGCGCGAAGCAAGCCGCCGCCCCCGCGCAGAACAAAGCTCCCGTCGCGGCGCTTCCGGCACCGCCCGTCAAGAAGGAGCAGCAGCAGGCTGGCTGGGGATGGGGCAAGATTGCCATGGTGGCAGGTAGTGCGGCTGTTGCTGCAGCGAGCGCCGGGGCGGCGTATTACAACCGCGAGCAGATCACGCAGGGGTTGACGTGGGCGACGTCGCACCTCGAGTTTGTCGGGTGCCTGGCTAAGGGCGCGGAGCTGCAGAAGAGGGTGCAGTACATGGTCAAGCTGAACCGGGAGCTTGGGGTCGGGTTTGCCAACCTGTACACCCGGCTGGGAAAAGCGGCGGGCAGCAAAGAGGTCAGTGTAGTCGGGACGGTGCTCGGCAAGGACCGCACGTTCTGCAACCTGCCCAAGAAGGGCCCTGCCGGGGTGTGGAATGAGGCAGTCAATGATATGGCCACCGATGAGACGTTGGCGCATATGAGTAAGTTGCCTGCTACCGACCGTGGAGCTGAGTACTGACACCGCCGCAGACATGTTTGAGGCGAAACAGAACCCTGGGTACGAGAAGCTGAAGCAAGATGCGGCGTCGCTGATCGTGCAGTGGACAACGAATGACTGGTACGAGACCAGCGAGGAGCCGAAGCTGGCCATCACGGAGGCGGGAGAGAGTGCGACTGCCTGATGCACGAGAGGGTTTCCTTTGATCTATATTATTACGAATGTTGCGCCTCCAGAGCAACGAAGGACGCGCTTTTAGATACCGGTTTTGTCTAAATCCATACCCACGTAGCCTCCAAATACCACCTGTATTTTTTGACCTCGTCTTGCAATGCAATTACTGCGTCTTGGAGAGACCCAAGTCGTCGGCCTTCATCTGGCGCATGACCTTTCTCCTCTGCGCCATCATGTAGGTGTAGAGAATGTAGGAGCCTGTCGTGTGTCAGTTCAAGTCCTTGCATTTCTCTTGCGCAACCAACGTACCAGGAACGTAGATGGCCAGGACCATGTAGCCAATGGCCGGGAGCAACGGGTTAAGCTTCGCATAGGGGCCGGTCGAAAGGTAGATCAGGGCGCACTCGCTGGTGATGCCAATCGGGTACAGCACGAAGAAGGTGTTGTAGCGCAGCCAGACGAGGGGCTTGGGCTGGATGCCGCTGAGGTTCAGAGCAAAGTACGAGTAGCGGATGACCTCGGTGACGCTCCAGGCGAGGAGCATGGACGAGTA